ATTCCGACATACCACTCCACGATGGTTTATGCCTAAGCAACAAAAACACAAGCGATTCTGTTTTGCTGCATTCCACCGTTGTTCAACAGTCATGCCATTGAACTGCTGGCAAACATATATGCGGCGATGTTCGCCACAACAGTCGCATATGATTGGCTCGGCCTTACTCCAGTCGGCGCGCGTTAAAAACAATTTTTCTCTGGCAGATCCGAGGACGGACCAGTTTGTTTGGAGTACTATTTCGCATTGTCCCTCTTCGATAGACTCACTGCGGAATACGGCAGTTTCTCGATATCCATTTACGCAGTGAAGTGTCAGGGTTCTCAGAGGCGTCCTTTCGATACTGAAGCCACGCGTTTTACGTGTGCATCATGAGGACGGCTGGAATCTTCGATTTTGATACGCAAATAGAACATACTGTCATTCTCTAGCTCTCGTCAGTGCGACCACTTTCTGCGAGGGCCACTATCGACAGCTCTTAACTGATGTTTTGGAATGCATCAGTGCCTGTGGATCTCCTTGCCTGACCATGTGGAAACTGTCGCTATACCGTTAAGCTGGCGAGGAAGTATTCGCCGTTACACCCCCCGTATCTCTCTTCAGTTCCACGTTTAGCTGCTTCTATCCTGCCTCAGAGCAGAAACCCCCGATGGTTGCTCGCAGCACCTCCCAGGTATTGACGCAAGTCTGTAACATCCTTAAAAACGTAGTCACAGGCCTTGCCTTGTCCAACACCAGCATAAAAGGCGTATCATCGAATATTGGATAGTCCTGCTTTATCTCTCTAAATGTTGGAGTACGGTACGGCGCTGTCAGAGTTGTGAGCACTGTCGCTATCAATACTGTACTTTGCCTTCTGTTTTGAGCTTCTGCCGCTCTTTAACTCAGACGTCGCCACCTTCAGCTTTTGATCGTCACGAGTACGGATGTTCGCCGTTTCATTACATTTTCACTGATGTACTCCGTTGGCAAAAAAAACGTTAGCGGCTTTGCAGTGTCAACATTGCTTGGATGGCATCTGCCTCGCGTGCGTTTCTGTTTCCGTTCTCCTGGTACAACAAGCTCTAAGCGGACAGGTACTGACAGAATCCGTCTTCTGTACGCTGAGAATCTGTCCATCATTTCCTGATTTCATCTATTTTTTCTTTTGACTTAAAAAGTTTACAACCTGTGTCCTGGTTCCCTAGTTAAACTTGCGTCTTCAAATCTCCTCCGTCCTTACTTCAGCTCACTTCCTTTTTGTCTCCATTCCTCTTTTGCCGTTATGGAGTTATGACTCGTGTCCTCCAACTCTGCAGCCTACTATTTCGTGATGAGCGTTCCGGCTCGAAGCGACCACGTGTTGATACAGTGAATTGCCGGTAGAACGATACGATAAGAGACGGCATAGTGTCGTGTAAAGGACTGAATAGTAACTATTTTAATACGAAAACCTCTGTCGACGGTTGCTAACTCGCAGACACGACTCGAAAAACAGACACTGCCACCGGCCCGCTGACACGTATGCACTCACGAAACTCCCCGGCTGACTCTATGAAGCCAATCCCCGCGCGTCCCCTGTCAGCGCCCTCTTCGCGCATAAGTTAAACGCTAGATTCCGAATATAAAGTTATAAACGCAAACTCTCGCGAACAATGTGGTATAATGATTGTTCTATTTCAAGTGGCCGGTTATCGTTTGAGCCGACTGTGCCGTTTTCTGAGCGTCAAGAAACGCTGGGGACCCGGTAAAACGTCGTTAGATATTGATTCATCAGAATTACGTCGTAAACAGCAATGTTTAATCACTGTAGTCCTGTTTTTATGTTCCTCCTTACTCATACTTGTTTTATATCAGGTTTTGTATGTTAGGATAATTTTTAGGTAATCATTCATTACAGCTGCATACAGTGTATGATGATTTACATCCATGTGTTCTATTCACATGTTTTCATTTAGCAACGAAAAAAGGAGATGCATTGCTAGAGGCGGCAATGGCTTCTCGTGGTTTTTTGTTACAGAACATTCTTCATATGTTCTCAAACCGTCTCTGCATAACTTACCGGTATCCTTGCAATACAGCAGAATTTACTATCTAGTCACGGCATGAACATGTGCAAGCAACATCACACAAGGCGGAAAAATGTTTTTCGGGCGGGCTACTTTTCCAAGCTCGAGTGCATTGAAATATCACTCCTAAAATTTGTTTGCATTGAACTCTATGGCAAATTATACCAGGGGCTCTTGTTTGACCATTTATTCGCGGGCTCTTTTTGCTAGGCATTTCGGGGGCTAAATCGCACCCCCCCCGACTGGCATTTGTATTTTTTTTCACCCTGACCACACACCAGTTCTTTCTAATCAATTACGTGCCGATTCCAATTAGACCTATGATTGTTTTTATATTACAATTTCAACCGATATAGGCGAATGCCAGCTTTACCTAGAGGGGGGGGAAGGTGCCGCGTGTTCAGCAAGATCAATAACTAGTCTATGTCTGTGTATTTTAGTTGCCTGTTAGGTCGCGCATAGCTGTCGCGATGCCAGCGCTGGGCTAGTCCCCTTCACGAACGATTAACCACATCTAGCAGGCGCTAGGCCAGGGCCCAAGCAGATCAAGGATGACGACAAGCGCCCTCAGGGACCACGAGAACTAAATCAGCCAGGTTAGGCAGCTGCAGGCGACGGCCAGTGACCCTTCGCGCTCGAGAGGCGTAGATGTAGTAGGTCGCCTTAATAGCATGATTATCCGAACTGTGTCCCTTCAATCACTAGGATCCTATTATTCCTTTATTACCTCCGCCCACGGAGTTAAACGGAGAACCAAGAGTAACGGAAGTGAGGGACGGATAATGCTAACTCCGGTCTCGTGTGTGTGTTGTCTGATGTGTGTAGTGTGTGATGCATGTGCTGTGTGTGTGTGCTGTGTGTGTGCTGTGTGCATGATGTGCGTGCGTGCAGCTGCGTGTAGTCACGTTCGCGATGTCACGCGAAGCCGGCGAGGCCCCCACGTAGTCAGCAGCCGCATCAGACGACCGCGAGTCAGCAAGCAGCACTCAGCCGAGCGGCAGTCAGCAGTCGCCAATCAGCGCAGCAGGCGAGTCATTACATGTTAAACATGCTGGCGCAGGTATGCAACTCTGCCATGGAGTGCCCTACTGTCTAGTTTTGTCTGTCGTGTGTTTAGATCGAATCCGATTGTTTCGTTTTGAGGATGAGTGTGTGTCACCAAGTTAGCAGCAGCTTACTAATTCGCGG